GGAGGGCAGGAACCCGTTCTCCGCCAGGATGACGAAGTAGGCGAAGAACCCCCCCAGCGCCTGGATCATCCCTGCGGTTGGGGGGGGGGGGGGGGGGGCGGGGGCCCCCCCCGGGCGGCGGGGCCGGGCGGGACGAGCCTCCCGGGGTAGGAGGGCTGGTTCCGGCCGGCATCGCCGCCTGGTCCGCGCCCCTCAGCTTTCCGTCTCCCTGCCGGGGCTCACCCGCGCCCCCGGGAGGCGACGGGCGGCCGCGGCCTCGCTGGGCCCGGAGGCTCCGTGGGGGGCTGGCGTGGAGAACCGCGGGGGACACGCGGGCATCGCTCCCCTGGAGCCCTCGGGTGGATAATCGCCTTCCCCGGAGGGTCCCCAACATCTCCGGGGGCCTTTCCGGGTCCTTCAGGTGTTCGGAGCTTATTTGGGGTTTTCCGTTTGTTGGGGAGGGGGGTTTGTGCCGGTTTTGAGGCTGATCGGAAGCTTTGTCAGCCGCTGTGGAGCGCGGCTGTTCGCGTGGGGGAAGAAAAGGGTCGCTTTTTAGTCGTGTGGAGGACACAGGGTTTAGCCTGCGAGCTGGGTGGCTTTCTGGTAGTGCCCAAGTGCGGTTTAAGAGGTGATTTTTGACGACAGATCCTCTGGAGTGGCTCAACGATAGCTGCGTTAGATGGTTGTCCTTCCTCCGGCAGATCTCATTCCTCACGGCACGCTGTTGTCTTCCAGGAGTCAGGCCCTTGGGTCGGGCTGGAGCTGGAGTCCGTCTCCCAGCTGGGACAGAGATTAACAGCGCTGCCAGCCGTGCGTGGGCAGAGGCTGGAGCGCTCGGGGGTGGGCAGTGCTTGCCTCTCCCCCCGCCAGACTTCTGGGAGAGAGTTAGGAGAGTGCAGAAAAGAATTTCTCTTCAATAGTCATCTCCTTTGGGGGCTGTAGGATTTTTACAGTATCTGTATTTCAGGATGTTGCATAAATGGATGTTTTGTAGCGTAAAACGTCAAATAGTGAGCGCGCGCTGCTGTTGGCAGTCTGCTCAACGGCTGTCGCTGATTTCCTCCCAAAATGTCTGTATAGGAGCACAAAACCCAAAGGGACTTGGTCACTACAGTCAGCTTTGTGTTATCATAGGTAACTATATCATATAATTCTTTCCGTTCACCAACTGCGTGCCATTTTAAGTTGGTTTTCCTAAAAGATAGAGCACCCCTTCACTGCCTTCCGCCATCCCTTCCCCACCCTGGGGCACCAGCAGTACGGTAGTCTCTAAAAGAAGTGTAACTGTGGCAGTGTAGCTTTGTGCCTAAAATAATAGGAGAAGGAAACAGTGCATCCTGCTGGCGTTAGGGGCAGAGCAAAACGTCTTTGGAAAATGCTGTTGTAAAATAGCTGAGGTTGATTAACTTGCCTGTAATTACCAGACTTGCTTCATTTCATCGCCAATGACAGAGCCCGTGTCCGATCCTTGACCACGCCGGTTGCAGACTCGCAAGCCTGGGGCGGGCCTCGCGTTTCGCTGTGCGTGCTCTTTCCGAGCTCTGGAGGTACGTAGCGTGGTGGCCGTCCCTTGCCCCGCAGTGGGCTGCGTTACGTTCTGGTGTTCCCCCTTTTCTCTTCAGTGCCGAGTTACCCTTTTGCGCTGCCGCCCGGTTTGAGAACCGGTGCGGGGTTTTCATGTTCATCGAGCTCTGGGCTGTCTTTATCCTGTACATGTCGCGCCGCAGCCCCGTTTCTTCTCTTCATTTTCTTCTTTGTGACACAGTCGCAGCTGACTTCTTCATTTGCAGTTTCGAGCTCAGTTTGATTTTTCTGCAATTCTTTTGTCTCTTGAACCCTCAAACTTTTTAATCACTTTTTTTAGTCGGTGCATTTTTTTTTTCTTTATTTGTAGACTCTGCTTATTTCTGCATTGACTTTCGAAAAATCTTTTATTTGGTTAATTTGGGGCCTTTCTTGCCAAGTCTTTTACCTTTGTTCTATACACAAATTCCAGGTAATTTTTTGTTTGTTTGTTTGTTTTTGCCAACCCTCATGAAAATAAATTTCAGGTGACCTCTGCACTCGTGTCCATGGTTCCTCAGTCCTGAAAATGTCATGCATTCGTTCCCTGAGTTTATTCAGACGTGATTTCAAATCAAGAAACTTAGAACCGAGATCTGTTTCTGTTCAGTTCTTCTCTTTAAACCAGCCAGATTCCAGATCACTTGTATTTTCCATAGTTAATTTTCCTCTGTATTTACTAACCTCTACAACAACATTGTTTCTTGTTTGTTTGGGGAATACTAGATGAAGATACTTGGTTGTGGCACCCTCAGCTCCCGGCACTCCACCACTGTTAGTAGTGTTTGCTCTTATACGTGGGAGGCACAGAGGTCAGTGCTCTGCTAGAGGTCTCCATCCAGACCGCAGTGAGACGGAAGGGTGCTACAGCAAGCAGCCTGCGCTGCGTGGCAGAACTTCTCTTTGCATCCTTCTGTAATGGTTAGATGAAGATACTTGGTTGTGGCACCCTCAGCTCCCGGCACTCCACCACTGTTAGTAGTGTTTGCTCTTATACGTGGGAGGCACAGAGGTCAGTGCTCTGCTAGAGGTCTCCATCCAGACCGCAGTGAGACGGAAGGGTGCTACAGCAAGCAGCCTGCGCTGCGTGGCAGAACTTCTCTTTGCATCCTTCTGTAACAGTTGAGTTTTGCCCAGGCTGCCCCATCACGTCTCTTTTCTGTGGCTTCGTTCGTGTCTGTTCACGCGCTCTCATCTCGGTCTTTTGTTTCTTCCTTTCTACAGCTCCAAGGCTGTTTTTTCATCGTTTCTGGGATCGCTAGAACATCTCACTTTTGTGTTCTTCTCCCCTCATAGGCCTGCTCCCACCGATACACAAATACCTGATTTGTTTCTTACTGCTCAAACCCTCGTTAAAGGTTGCGTGGGTCTCTGCTGTCATTGTTAGTCTTCTGCCGTTCATTTTCCTTCCCACTTGCGGCCATTCCTTTATCATCATTTGCCTGATTTTCTTCCTCCTGCACACTGAAACCAGGCGCCCAGGAAATATGTCTCCCCCAGCCTTCTCTCCTGGCTTAACATAAAGTTGCTTATCGTTTTGCCAGCCTTGATTCCAGTGGGCCAGTATTCCCTGCACTCAGGGGAGCCCATCCATTGAGGCAGATCCTTTTACTATGAGTGTTTCTGGCGCTTAAAAACCTTCATGTCTTCCGTGTCCTTGAACCATGCTGATTTTTGTTATCTTTTCATGACTCACTGTGTGTCTGAGGGCTGGAAGGGTCCCTCTGACTGGCACTTGAAATGGTGTTTCCATGCACATCATCCTTGTTTCTGGTCTGCTCATCCAACATGTGTTCCTGTGAGGACCTCAGTGTCATTTCCCAGTGGGAGTGGGGTCAGTGGGTTCTTCCAGAACTAAACCACCTGTTCTCATACCTGATCTTAGCAGATTAGGCATCATCCTGTCCTCTGGATCTACTCTTGTTAAAGGCATGTTGACTTCTTAAAATGGAGTCTGGCATCGGTGGGAATCACAAACCCTTTGTCCTTCTGCTGTTTCTCTGTTTGCAGATCACCTCCTCTCACAGCCTTGAACATCCCGCCTGTTTGTCCTTGCAGCATCTCCTCCCCAACCCGGGGACCTTGTTCAGTTGTGTGTACGGCCCTGAACAGTGCTCATGATCTCGGTGCTTGGCTGCTTTGTGTGATGGTATTGCTGTGCGTCGGTTCTCCTGCCATCTGCCTGTTATGCGCAGAATTTTGTGCTCAGCTGTTGTAGGCTCAGGGTGGGAGGACTTTATTCTGAGTTGCTCTTTATTTTTATTGGAGCAAAAGGTGGAGAGATTTTTGTGTATGTTTTTATCTCCTTGTCTGTCCCACAGTTGTGGAGAACTCAGTGTTTTTTTGCTCTCCCCCATGCAGGTGAGCTTTGCTCTGCTGGATGGGTAATGTTTTCTGTGCAGTCTGTCCTGGAACTTGAAGGTGCTTTTTTTAGGTACCTAGTGCCCAACCTTTCAAGATGGGGATCGTGAACTTGGTGTCTTTTGGGTGGGAAGTCTGTGCGCAGGGGTTTGGTGTGCTCGTCTGTGAAATGCCAATTACTGCACGCCTGGCTGTGAAAGGTGGGGGAAGGGGCAGAGGGTGGCGGTCTGGTTCCTACACATGTACATAAGAAATTCTTTTCTAGGCAGAGTTTATCAGGTTTGCTGCCTCTCAGAGCTAGCTTTTGGCATAGGCAGGGTAGGCGATGGTCAGGGCTGGCAGAACAGCTCTGGTAAGAGGTCACCGTTGCTTTGCTGCCTGATTTGTCCCTGCTTGAGTGCAGTGCTGCTGCCCGAGGAGAGCAGGAAGACTGTAAGGATTTGCAGGCAGTGCCTGGATCTAGCCTGAGCATCAACAGCTGCAGTGCACCGGCCAGACCTGCCAAGGTGCAGGGGAAGGGGATGTCTCAGTCCCAGCTGGCTCATTCCTCAGGTGTCCCTGGCCAGCTAGTTTCTGTTTGATATCAGCTCTCCTCAAGCCCCTCTGCCTCTCTGCTGCTGGTTTTTCCTAAGCAGTGGGCAAACCCGATTTAATGTTAATGTGCAAAATAAAAAAAAATTGAAGCTTCCTGCCCCTGTATGTTGTACACATACATCTTCCTAGTGAAGTGGTCCTGGCTGTAACTCTTCAAAACACTTTTCTTTTTTATCAGGATCGTGTTTCTTGCCTGGATTCAGCTTCTGTAACCTGAACTCACGTATTGGGCAATTCTTGCAGAAATGCTGGGACCACGTGTGCTGAGATGTGGTAGTGTGTCGCCTGCCTACGGCTGGAACTTGAATTACGGTGTTGATCATCCCCCCAGCAGCTGTACGTAGGCACTGGGGAGAGAGCTAGTCATGGTGGAGCTCCACAAGCAAAGGATCTGGTGATGGGAATACCGCCCTGTTGCTGGTTGCATGCGTTTCCTTTCTCCCTGTATTTTAGTCTTCCTCAGTAATGGAACAACAGTGTGAATGCATTCCACTGCCACCTCTAGATCATGTTTAATGCTCCAGACAGGTCAAGGGGGACAAGAATATCCCTGCTAGTGGGAGGAGATGGTCTATCAGTACCACCAAAGTGGTTTCAGCTCTGTACTGGCCCTGACCCATGTTTTATCCAGTCTTATTTATTCGCTTTAGTGAGATTGGCTTGGAGGTGGCCTTTGAGTAGCTGGCTGTTCCATAGCCTTGCTCAAGAAGAGAGACGATGCTGGGCAGTAGATTTCTAGAGCAAAGACACCCCGATTGCCTTTCTTTGGTGTTTGTAGGGCTGTTGCACCTAGAGAGCCAGCCGCTATGAAACCAGGGTGT